TACACCAAAACTCAACAAATTGTTATTTTTTAACAGCTTTATTGAGGTCGATTTACATACCATATACAATTTAATTTATATAATTACAATTTATAACCCAGTGATTTTTAGTAACTTTATAGAGTTGTATAACTGTTACAGTCCAATTTTCGGACATTTCTGTCACCCAAAAAAGATCCCTTGTAACCATTTGCAGTCAGTCCGTATTCCAAAAGCAACCTCAGGCAAACTCTAGTCTGTTCTCTGTCTGCAGATGTGCATTTTCTTCATGTTTCATGTGGATAGAATCATGTACTATGTGATCTTCTGTGTCTGGCTTCTTTTACCTTGATGTTTTTGAATTTTATCCACGTTGCAGCATATACCAGTACTTTCATTCTTTTTTATTATCCAATAGTATTTCATTCTATGGATGTCACATTTTGTTTATCCATTCATGAGATGATGATGGACGTTTGGATTATTTCTACTTTTCAGCTAATTATGAATAATACTGCCTATGAACATTTATGTTCAAGTCTTTGTGTGGATATGTTTTCAGGACTTGCTGGGCCATATGGTAAATTTATGTTCTAAGAAACTGGCAGTGTTTATAAGGGCTCAAGCCATTTTGTTTTGTTTTGTTTTGAGATAGGGTCTCACTCTGTCACCCAGGCTAGAGTGCAGTGGTGTGATCTCAGCTCACTGCAACCTCCACCTCCCTGGCTCAATTGATCCTCCCATCTTAGCCATGTCACATTTTGTTTATCCATTCATGAGATGATGATGGACGTTTGGATTATTTCTACTTTTCAGCTAATTACAATACTGCCTAAGTAAATGATTGGTAACACAAGTCTTTGTGTGGATATGTTTTCAGGACTTGCTGGCCATATGGTAAATTTATGTTCTAAGAAACTGTGTTTATAAGGGCTCAAGCCATTTTGTTTTGTTTTGTTTTGAGATAGGGTCTCACTCTGTCACCCAGGCCAGAGAGTGCAGTGGTGTGATCTCAGCCTACTGCAACTTCCACCTCCCTGGCTCAATTGATCCTCCCATCTTAGCCGCCCTAAAAATCTGGGATTATAGAAGCGCACTCACCATGCCTGATTAATTTTTCTGTTTTTTATAGAAATGGGGTTTCACCATGTTACACAGTGTCTGTTGAGATGATTGTGTGGTTTGTGTCCTTTGTTCACATGGTCTGTTAACATTATTTGTTTTGTGGTAAATTCTTTAAAGATTAGTTGCCATGTGGAACCTGAAACCATAATCAGTGAATTTCTTGACTATGTTGTCTCAAAATTTATTGAACTTCTTGAATAGATATTTTAATCCAACATAGTTTTGTAGCACAATACATTGGTCATTTGAAAAACAGTGGCTCGCAGTTATGTAGATTTTCCAAATGTTGGCATTTCATTACATACGATAATAAAATCAGCCATTGGTATTGGCCACTGATCTTGTAAGAACGGTATTTAAGTATTGGGAAAATAACAAACTCAGTGACAGACACAAGTTTTTCAGAATTTAAATTTTCTCTTGAAAGTTTGAATTTTATCATTGGCAACAAATACTATTGTTTTTTGACATGACCAGCTCTTAGTTCATTTTCAAGATACTGTCTACCTCATAACCAGTAGGTTAGCTGTCAAAGCAGTTTCCAAGTAAAAAAGTACTCCAGGCCGGGCGCGGTGGCTCACACCCGTAATCCCAGCACTTTGAGAGGCCGAGGCCGCGAATCACGAGGTCAGAGATTGAGACCATCCTGCTAACATGGTGAAACCCAGTCTCTAGTAAAAATACAAAAAATTAGCTGGGCATGGTGGCACATGCCTGTAATCCCAGCTACTTGGGAGGCTGAGGCAGGAGAATCGCTTGAACCCGGGAGGCAGAGGTTGCAGTGAGCCGAGATCACACCACTGTACTCCCTCCAGCCTGGGTGACAGAATGAGACTCCGTCTCAAAAAAAAAAAAGAATGAAAGTGTTCAAGAAAAGTGCAGCTAATTCGGATCATAACTCTAACAATTACACAAGTGCTTTTCCTGGATACCATCATGTCTGCATATGTAGCAGATATGGATTATGTGTTCTTCCTGTTTCATCCCATAAAATATTCTAAACACACATATTCAGAAGTTGAGGTAGTTTTTAGAACTTTATCAAGGGCATTCTAAGTGAATTGGTGCTCTTTTTTAAAACCATAAGTACATAGCAATAAAGAAGACAATAACCACATTTTTGTGCCTCTGCCTTTATCTGTGGTAAGCTGACAGCAGTTTTACTCACTCATTGCTTTGCACCATCAGTGCAAATGTGAAATATGGAAAGGCCAGGTGTGGTGATTTCACCAATCCTAGCACTTTGGGATGCCGAGCGGTGGTTTACTGGTCAGAGTTTGAGGCTAGCCTGGTTAATATGGTGAAACCCTCTGTTTCTGTTTCAAAAATATGAAATTAGCTATGGATGGTGCCTGTAGTCCCAGCTACTCAGGAGATAGAGGCAGGAGAAACTTTGAATTGAGAAGTGGAGGTTGCAGAGCCCAGACCACACCATTGCACTCCAGCCTGACAACAGAGGAACTCTGTCTCAAAAAAAAAAAAAAACAAACAGTGAAAAAGCAAATCACATCTTAAGTTTTTGTTTGTTTTTTGAGATGCAGTCTTGCTGCAAATGAAAGTGCAGTGGCTTGATCTCGGCTCACTGCAACCTCCACCTCCCAGATTTAAGCGATTCTCCTGCCGCAGCCTCCCAAGTAACTGGGATTACAGGCATGTACCACCACCTCTTTCACAATTTTTTGTATTTTTGATAGAAATGGGGTCATCAAGTGTTGGCCAGGCTGGTCTTGGAGCTCCTGACCTCAGGTGATCCCCTCTGCCTCAGCCTCCCAAAGTGCTGGGATTACAGGCATGAGCCACCACATCTGGCCTATCTTAGTTTTATTATACAAATAGTTTTGATCTTGCAGATCCTCTGAAAGGGTCTTCAGAACCTGTGACGTTGTAACCAGACCATTCTTTAAGAACCACAACTCAGTTTTGTATAGCATTTCTGGTTTTCTCCTTTTCCCTTTTTGCGTATTATTGCTAACATTTGTTCCCACACCCTTCATTTTCAAAGTATGCTATGTAATTTTCTTTTGTATGATACTCTATTTTTTTTTTTTTAGTTTATTTATTTATTTATTTTTAGAGACAGAGTCTTGGTCTGTCACTCAAACTGGAGTATAGTGATGTAATCATAGCTCACTGTAGCCTCAACTTCCTGGGCTTAAGCCATCCTCCCACCTCAGCCTTTCATGTAGGTAGGACTACAGGCACACCACCATTCATAGCTAATTTTTTAATTTTTAGTAGACAGAGGGTCTCGGCCGCCATGATATTGCCTAGTTTGGTCTTGAAGAACTCTTGGCCTCAAGCAGTTCTCTCCCATTAACCTCTCCCAAAGTACCGGGATTACTGTGCTCCCTGATATCCTAAATGTTTATCAAAATTTTTCATTGCTATTTTCCTCATAGGATTAGAAGGGCTGTTTATTATTTTTTATGACTACAGCTGACACTTGAACAACATAGGGTTAAAGGTAGATCCCCCATGCATTAAAAAAATTTCATGAATAACTTTAGATTCCCAGCAAACTTGACTCTTAATAGCCTACTGTTGACCGGAAGCCTTACAAAAACAAAGTTAATACACATTTTGTGTAAGTATGTATATACTCTTACAATAAAAATAAACTAGAGAAAAGAAATGTTATTGAGAAAAAATCATAAGAAAGAGGAAATATGGTCGGCCACGGTGGCTCACACCTGTAATCCCAGCACTCGAAGGCCGAGGCATGCGGATTCCCAAGGTCTGGAGTTCGAGACCAGCCTGGCCAACATGGTGAAACTATTAACTCTACTAAAAATAGAAAATGAGCGGGCCTGGTGGTGGATGCTCAATCCTTAGCTACTTCTGGGGAAGTTGAGGCAGAATTGCTGAACCTTAGGAGACAGAGGTTGCAGTGAGCGAGACCATGCCATTGAAATCCAGCCTGGATGACAGAGCAAGACTCCATCTCAAAAAAAAAAAAAAAAAAAGAATATATTTACTTTCATTAAGTGAAGTGGATGATCGTAAATGTCTTTATCCTTGTCATCTTCGAGTTGAGTAGGCTGAGGAGGACAAGGAGGTATTGGTCTTGCTGTCTTGGGGTGGCAGGCAGAGGCAGAAGAAAATCCACATATAAGTAGACCAGCACAGATAAAATTGTGTCTAAGGGTCAGATGTACTTCATTTTTCAGATTCAGAAAAGTGAAATATTCTCAAATACAATAATATTTATTTATTTATTTATTTATTTATTTATTTATTTATTTTTAGACAGAATCTTGCTCTGTCGCCGAGGCTGGAGTTCCCTGGCATGATTTCGGCACACTGCAACCTCCATGCACTCTTGGGTTCAAGTGATCTTTCTGCCTCAGCCTCTGCTAGCTGGGACTGCAGGCAATTTGCCACCAAACCTGGCTATTACTATTTTTTTTTTGTATATTTAGTAGAAACAGGTTTTCGCCATGTTGGCCAGGCTCGTCCCGAACTCCTGGCCTTAAGTGATCTGCCTGCCTGTTCCTCCCAAAGTGCTGGGACTATAGGTGCAGGGAGCACCAGCCAAAAGAATCTTGTAATTTTTAGGACCTAACTGGTTAACTTGCTTATTGGGGTACAGTTGTCGGTATCTTTGGGTTAGGGCTGGCTATCATTTTAGGTGGATGGAGGGTAGATGGAAGAAGAAAATATCCATAGGAGGGTTGGGACTTCTTGTTAGATTGAATATCTGTTGAATGGGAAGAGAAAGTCCCTGGTTGACAATTGTTGTAAAAACATATCTGTGCTAATGCAGTGAACCACCCACCTGGTGCAGAGGAGTCTTGTCTTGACCTGCTTTGGGAGAGTGTTGTCTTGATGCTTTTCTCTTCCGCCTTGGAAAACAGCTGAAGAAATCAGGGGAGAAACCCCTACTTGGTGGAAGCCTGATGGAATATGCAATCTTGTCTGCCATTGTTGCCATGTGAATGAGCCAAGATCTGCTCTACCACTGCTCTGAAGAAGTATGTCCTAGAGAATCACCCAGGAACCAATTCTAACTATCAAAGTAAGACTCAGTTGTGCATTTAACTGGGATTAGGATAATTTTCTTGAAAAACCATAGAGATCTGGGTGCTGTGACTCATGCCTGTAATCCCAGCACTTTGGGAGGCTGAGGTGGGCGGATCACGAGGTAGGAGTTCGCACCAGTCTGGCCAAATATAGTGAAACTCCATCTCTACTTTTAAAAATAGCAAAAAAAATTAGCAGGGTGTGGTGGTTGTGCACCTGTAGTCCCAGATACTCAGGAGGCTGAGGCAGGAGAAACGCATGAACCCAGGAAGCAGAGGTTGCAGTGAGCTGAGATCACACCATTGCATTCCAGTCCGGGTGACAGTTGCAAGACTGTGTCTCAAAACCAAAAAAAAAAGAAGAAGAAAAAAGCATAGAGATCATGCTATTAATGTCAAAGTATTAACTACTGACTGTGAAAACCAAGAGGGAACAGCCTTACAAATTTAATATTTACAAAAAGAAAAACAGAAATAATCAAAACTGAATTCTAAATTTAAATCATATGCTTGTAAGAAGTTGATTTTACTTTACTGTAAATTTTATTTTTTTAACTGATTTTATTTTTCTGATTTTTATTGTAATTCAGATAAATCTCTGGGTTCAAAACAACTTTAAATTATAGTATATTTTTTCGTACTTCTGGATGTTCACCAAAAACATCTAATTTTACTTTGAAACAAAGCCAGGATTTTAGAATACTTACTACTTACATTATTTCTTATTAACCTAAGCCCCACAACAGAAAATACTTTATTTCAGTAAAGTATATTTACTCTAGGAGGTGGTGATTTGAGATGAGACACCCTGCCTTATCAGCATTATCAGGTATGGATTGGTGAGACTGGGTGACTTCTCAGTGAACTATTAGAAGAGACACAATGTTGTAGGGTGAGGGATATGGAAATTAAGTAACAGAAGAAGACAATCCAGAATATATTATTGTAAATTAAAAGGTAATTTTGAAGTCTTTTTTTTTTAGATGGAGTCTCACTCTGTTGCCCAGGCTGGGGAGCGTAGTGGTGCGATCTCCGCTCACTGCATATTTCGCCTCTCCTGGGTTCACGCCATTCTCCTGCCTCCACCTCCTGAGAAGCTGGGACTACAGGCATCTTCCTACACACCCAGCTAATTTTTGTTTGTTTGTTTTTGTTTTGTTTCTGTTTTTTTTTGGTAGAGACAGGGTTTCACCATGTTAGCCAGGATGATCTCGATCTCCTCACCTCATGATCTGCCCACCTCGGCCTCCCAAAGTGCTAGGATTACGGGCATGAGCCACCACGTCCAGACTATTTCATGATTTTCTGTTTGCCAAATGTTTTAAGAGAAGATGAATTTGGTTAACAAGCCTTTCAGTTTCATTGATATTTGCAGCTGTTTTTTGGATACTGAATCACCATAAAATATATTTTGGATATGTCTCTGTAAGGAAGATGAGAATGAAGGACTTCAGGAACCATGATACTGTTTTGTTACTGTTTACTGATTTATGAATAATTCATTCTGTTCCTCTTTATAAGATATTCTCCTAGGTGATTATCAGTACCCGTAGGTAGATGTTTAAATGAATGGAAATAATTAAATATTTAATTTTAGGTCTGCTGTTTATGTGCTACCTTAGAGCAAGTCACTTAACTACTTTGAGCTCAAGTCACTTAACCACTCTGGGGTTTTTTCTTTTCTGTGAAATAAGGTATTCGACTTAATGGTCTCTAATGTCTCCTTTCATTATAACTCTTGCCAGGTATGGTGGCTCATACCTGGAGTCCCAGCAGTTTGGGAGGCCAAGGTGGGAGTACTGCTTGAGCCCAGGAGTTTGAGACTAGCCTGGGCAACGTAGTGAGACTTTGTCTCTATATTTTGCAAAATTTTTAAATATATATGTATGCATGTATGTATATAATTTAACTCTTGCCAAACTTATAGGCATTAAATAAATGTTTAATGAATTAAATACCTTTGAACACATGGGATTCGCTTAGTGTATGTCAATTACTATATGTGACAGGATATTAAATTGATGGGCATCTGTTTGTGGTTGAGGGGTTGAGGAAATTATCTGAATAACTAGATAACTTTCATTTCTGAATTTTTTTGCTTAGTGCATTTGCTGAAAAAGCCCTGCAGAAATGCGAAAAGAATGGGTGGATGGAACAGATCTCTGGGAAAGGGTTCAGTAGCACCTTCCAGCTCTGTTTTCCCTATTATCCCAGGTAAGCACTTAGCCTAAAATAGATCACTGTAAATTTATAATCTGATTCTAAGTTACACATTTAGTTTAATTTATTTTACCCTCATTTACTGTTTTAGTGAACTGGAAATACAGTCATCCTTTGTTATGCGTGGGGCATTGGTTACAGAACTGCCCACATACCCAGATGCACATGTACTCAGCCCTGTGGAATCCATGTATCTGAAAAGTCTGTCCTCCTTGTATGCAGGCTTTGCATCCTGCAAATGTTATATTTCTGATCTGTGGTTGAAAAAAAAGTCCACATATAAAGTGCACTCATGCGTTTCAAACCTGTGTTGTTCAAAGGTCAACTGTATTTGAAAATAAAGATGATTCAAGGCAGTATTATTTTGGAGTAAAAGGTTTTTGTTTAAAAACAGGGATTTTAGCCAGGCATCAGATTATTTGAGATCCTTGGATGGTCACTTTGATATTCATTCCTTCTTTATCAGGTAAATGATAATAACAGATTCTTAGAGGATTATGAATGAGTTTTTGTTTTTGTTTTTTGAGACAGGGTCTCACTCTGTCGCCCAGGCTGGAGCAGTGGTATAATCTCAGCTCACCACAACCTCCGCCTCCTGGGCTCAAGTGATCCTCCCACCTCAGTCTCCCACGTAGCTGGGACTACAGATGCGTGCCACCACAGCCGGCTAATTTTTGTGTTTTTTGTAGAGATGGGGTCTCGCCATGTTATCCAGGCTGGCCTTGAACTCCTGGGCTCAAGCAGTCCTCCCGCCTCAGCCTCCCAAAGTGATGGGATTATACGTATAAGTTTTAATTGTCCAATACCAAGTGGGGAGAACATTGACTGTTTCCAAGAATCTTAACTCTGCCTTGATACTGTAGAGACAGGGACACTTTTACTTGGAAATTTGTGTCTTGCAAATACCTTATTTACTCTTTGAAACAAAAAAATGTATTGAGTACCTCCTGTGGTGCAAGCATTGTTTCATGCACCGGTGTTAAAGCCTTCTGATTTCCAGTAAAGTATGTAACATATACCACTAAGACCCTGTTTTAGCAAGACTATTGTGTAACTTTCTTATATTTTTCTGTACAAACATAAGTGTTATTTGGCTGAATACATATTATATGAATTTCTCAAACATTAAATTAAATTCCCAAAGTCACACATACAAAATGTTATATTCTGCCAGGTGTGGTGGGATGCACTCGTAGTCCTAGCTACTTGGGAAGGTGAGGTGGGAGGATCCCTTGAGCCTAGGAATTTGATTCCAGCCTGGGCAACACAGCAAGACTCTGTGTCTGAAAAAAACAAGAAACACACACACATATATGTATGTATATATGTTATCATTTAAGGACATGTTAATCAAAGGAATCAAGGTTTGTACCACCAAGGACAAAAAAGAGTTTAGGAGATCCTTGCTGAATTTCTCTAAAGCTTTGAAAAGATTTAGGCCTTTGAGGTCTTCTGTTAAGACTTAGAGGTCTTTTGCCAGTATTTATTATGAGGTTGAAGTGTGTATTCCATGCAGACTGTTCATTGCTGTGTACTTATTGGCTAATACAGTGCCAGACACATATTAGGAGTTTAAGTAGTTGTTTACTAAATAAATGATTATGGGTTAATTTTATTAAATAGTGGGTATAGAATTAGGCATGGTGCAGGACTTTTATAGATTTGGCATAACTTTATATGTATGTTCAAAATACGGTAAATTGTAACCTGATACATATAACCTAACTTGACATTTTTGGGAAGGGTGGGAAGAAGTGGGAAATGTCCAGGTAAGAACATCTAGGTTCACATTATTTTTCTTGTCTTATATGGGACTTGTGTTTTAATCTAATTTTTCCCCCCATAGCCCAGGAGTTCTATTTCCGAAGAAAGAGCCAGACGATTCTAGAGATGAGGATGAGGATGAAGATGAGTCATCAGAAGAAGACTCTGAGGATGAAGAGCCGCCACCTAAAAAAAAAAAAAAAAAAAATTGTCACATTCCTATTCCTAACATAAGTGACCGTTTCATATGCCATTTCTCTCTCTTTTTTTTTTCTTGGAGACAGAGTCTCGCTCTGTCGCCCGGGCTGGAGTGCAGTGGCCGGATCTCATCTCACTGCAAGCTCCGCCTCCCGGGTTTACGCCATTCTCCTGCCTCAGCCTCTGGAGTAGCTGGGACTACAGGCGCCACCTCGCCGGCTAGTGTTTTGTATTTTTTAGTAGAGACGGGGTTTCACCGTGTTAGCCAGAATGGTCTCCATCTCCCGACCTCGTGATCCGTCCGTCTGGGTCTCCCAAAGTGCTGGGATTAGAGGCGTGAGCCACCGCGCCCAGCCTGCCATTTCTCTTTAGAAAGCGTCTGGTTGTCCCAAGAAAACAAATCTCTTAAGAAGTGATGCTCTTTGGTTCTCACAGGTTGCAGAAGAAAACCCCAGCCAAGTCCCCAGGGAAGGCCACGTCTGTGAAGCAGAGAGGGTCCAAACCTACACCTAAAGTCTCAGCTGCCCAGCGGAGTAAAGCTAGGCCCTTGCCCAAGAAAGCCCCTCCTAAAGCCAAAACTCCTGCCAAGAAAGCCAGACCCTCACCCACAGTCATCAAGAAACCTAGTGGTGGCTCCTCAAAGAAGCCTGCAACCAGTGCAAGAGAGGAAGTAAAATTGCCGGGCAAGGGTAAATCCACCATGAAGAAGTCTTTCAGAGTGAAAAAGTAAATTTTATAGGAAAAAGGGTATCATGATGAAATTCAAAATCTTATTTTCTAAGGTCAGTGTGCATTTGTTTAGTTTTGACGCTTTTCAAATTACATTATTTTCCTCCCCTATGAACATTGTGGGGAGGGACTATAAATAAACCAGTGTAGGCACTTGCTAGCTTTAGGTACTTTTCTTGGTGCCTGCCCTTTTCCTTGTTCATTTTAATTTCTGCAATAATCCTGGACTTTCCTTAACTATGTAATCTATACTTGTCCTTTTTTCCCCCCTCCCCCAACCCCTATTGTTTTTATGGTCAGCTTTGCCTTTTTTTTTTCCTTCCAATTTTATCTGAACAGTTGCAAAGATTTTTATATTTGTAGAAAGCATCAAGAACGGTATGTCAGTCAGGTCCTGGAAGTAAAATGGAGGCGAAATATGGCACTGACTGAATTGTAAAGCCTCCTGCCTCGAAACTTCAGTGATAGCTGTAATAATTAATCTTATTTATAAAAGCCACTCCACTAACCTTTTCTCTCCAACTATAAACACAGAGACAGCTTTGGGAATAAGCCAAAAAACAGTGTGATCTCATCAGATTTTGAAGATACATGACTTCTTTGGGTTAGTTTTCATATTGATCAATTTCCATGTATTTTTCACTGGCCCAAAGTATTGCATTCCCTTAACAGCAAGCACAAGTTCTCTATATCACTTGTTTTTGTTGTTGTTGTTGTTGTTGTTGTTGTTGTTATTATTGTTGTTATTTTGAGACAGGGTCTTGCTCACGTGCCCTGGAGTGCAGTGGCACAATCTTGGCTCACTGCAACCTCCGCCTCCTGGGTTCAAGCAATTCTCCTGCTTCAGCCTCCCAAGTAGCTGGGATTACAGGTGTGCACCACCACGTCTGGCAATTTATTTGTATTTTTAGTAGAAATGGGGTTTCGCCGTGTTGGTCAGGCTGGTCTCGAACTCCTGACCTCAGGTGATCCACCTCCCAAAGTGCTGGGATTACAGGAGTGAGCCACCATGCCCCGCCTATCCCACTTGGCTTTTGACTGAAGGGGAAGTATAGAAATATGTTAATTTGTGATTTCTGGTGTCACCTGTGTTACCAAAAACCAAAACCAAAACAAATCTTTTTTTTTTTTTTTTTGGAGACAGAGTCTTGCTCTGTCACCCAGGCTGGAATGCAGTGGCATGATTTTGGCTTACTGCAACCTCCGCCTCCCAGATTCAAGCGATTCTCCTGCCTCAGCCTCCCGAATTGGGACTACAGGCGCCTGCCACCACGCCCAGCTAATTTTTTGTATTTTTAGTAGAGATGGGGTTTTACCATGTTAGCCAGGATGGTCTCAATCACCTGACCTCATGATCTGCCCACCTCAGCCTCCCACAATCCTGGGATTACAGATGTGAGCCACTGCTCCCAGCCCAAATCTTCTTGATCATACGTTTAAATATATTTTTTAATATTGGGAGCATGAGTCGTCACTTCTTGTTTGCCTTTTTTATAAGGAAATGTTGAAGAGTTACATCATCGCTAATGTAGAAATGTTAAGTGGAAAAATACAGTTTAGTAAAATAGATTCCACATTTATTTGTGGGTTTTTTCCCCTCCTTTCTTTCCACAGCACTTTTGATATCAAGCAAGTGGCTTCCTTTTTGAGATATTAAAAAAAAAAGGAAGAAAAGTAAATGAAGCCCAACTACCTAACCCTTTCTTATTTGTATTTGTTTTAGTATTGTGAAGTTGTGTTAAATAGTACTAGCTAGAAGTACCAATTTCTGGTTATCATTTCTCTTCCCTGTGGCACTTGACATTTTAATTGTCTTAAACTTTTTGAAGTACATCTTCTGGCCCCTTGAGTACTGCCAGAGGCAAAAGATGTTTGTTTCTTACTCATTCCACTTTTGTCTCCTGGGATCCCTTCTGTAGCCTAAAGTATGGCTGGGAAATGGACTTGAGAAGATTGGCTTGAATTAGATCGTGATCATGTGTGATCCCATCATGAGTTCATTGGAATTTGTGTTGCATGTAAGGCAATCTTTCCTGTTGTAAATCTTCCTTTTTTTATGTACATATATTTTGAAAAATATGAATAAACATGAAATTTTAAAAGCTGCTGAACCATAGCTTATATTTAAAGGTTTTGAGTATAGTATGTCTTCAGAAGTAGATAAGTGCTAAGTGTCGCCCTCACTTCAAGTCTTTTCTACTCCTTGAAATGAACACCATCATTTTCCTTTTTAAATACAAGCTCCAGTTCATGTGCTTTGGAATTCTTAATAGAGAGTAAATGATGTTTCCAGATACATTGAATGCTAATTACTTAATGAATCAAATATTTTAAAAATCATTTTGTATTTTATTAAGGACTGCTTTCAAGATCATAGAGTACAATCTTTCATGTTCAATAAATGTTCAATGTTCAGATAAGCCCTTGGACTAGAAAAAATTAACAGTACTGCAGAAGATAACAGATAAACCCTAGACATCAAATTCTAGAAAGTAATTGTAGTAATTTCTCTTGTGCTCTCTAGCAAGTAATGATTCTTAATAGTACGGATGTCAGGTACCTGTGCTCAGAATTCTGTACTCTTCTGGAATCAAAAGTTGGGAGATTTTGGTTGGTTTCTTTGCTTTATGACATTGCTTTTGAAAAGACTGAGTAGTCACCTGGTGGCTGTATTGCACGCCAGGCACTGAAGCACAGGCTGAGAAGTTCAGAACATTTAAATTTTCTTCCAACCCTAACATTCTGTTAACTATAAGGACAGTTTGTTTCAGCATGATGTAAAGGGAAAAGACAGGAGGGTCATTGCACTCTTCCACGAACATCCACAACTGTCAAAGACATACACCTTACTTACATTGAGATAAAAGAATGTTTGATTTTTCCCTTCCAGGCATTCCAAAGGAGCAGAACACATTTATAATTTTTATTTCTCTGTTCAGAAAGGGGAACAACAAACCCCAGAGGTAATCCCAGAAATCTCTAGCATGGATCAATAGCTTCAATACTCTGTTGGTGGCTTAGTGACCTCATTTAGAGTGTTTCATACACTCTGAAACTACCTACAAGCTACCTTTGATAAATGAGTCTCAGAAAGTGCTGGGAGAGGGATTGTTGGCTTCTTTCTTTCTTTTTTTTTTTTGAGATGCGTCTCGCTTTGTCGCCCAGGCTGGAGTGCAGTGGCGTGATCTCGGCTCACTGCAAGCTCCGCCTCCCAGGTTCATGCCATTCTCCTGCCTCAGCCTCCGAGTAGCCGGGACTACAGGCGCCTGCCACCACCTCCGGCTAATTTTTGTATTTTTACTAGAGACAGGGTTTCACCTTGTTAGCCAGGATGGTCTCCATCTCCTGACCTCGTGATCCGCCTGCCTCGGCCTCCCAAAGTGCTGCAATTACAGGCGTGAGCCACCACGCCCGGCCAATTGTTGGCTTCCTAACCTACAAAATGAGGAAGAAAAGACACCATTGCTGAGAAATGTGGAGACCTTGCCTTAGCACTGACACAAGCATTCATTGCAGATGGATTCTGACTAACCATCCACGTGGACTTAATTAAAGGAAACCTGATCCTGTATGAATCTTAGGAAACAGGTGTATGTTTCAATCATGTCTTTTGGGTGTAATTAACAGGAAAATGACATGAAAACAAAACTAAACAATATGCTAATACCTTTTGACATTTGTTTTTTCTTCATTCCTGTTTTTCCAAATTTTGTTAGCCCTTGTCAAGGTTTGCTAACCAATTCTTAATACTCTACTTTAAAGAGCCTGTGAAATTATTCTCTCAGGTTGTGATCTTCTTGCCATCTTGATATGTCATGAGAACGAAGCTCACCACCCATGTTCATTAAATACTGCATTTAACTAAGAGAAACTAAAAATTTAGGATTATAGTTAAGGTCTCCTATCTTTGGAACCTGATTAATTTATCTTTCTTTGGATTAAGCAAAAATTCTAATTTTAGCTATGAAGAGAAATTCTATTCTTAATTGGAAAAGACCATTAAACTGTTTCCCCAGAGGTTCTGGTTGATATTACTCTTTAGCATGTAGATTTTACTTTTGCATTTTCATGGTGGAACAGATGGTCCCTCACTTCTGCAGAGCCAAAGCCAAGGGACCAGAATTGTTGAAGCTCTTGGCTTAGGAACCACTTGATAAAGATTTGTTTAGAAGCCATTACAGATGGCTAAACAGTACCCCTAATCAGCGACATTATTTTCTTTTTTAAAGAAATTAATCTCTATCATCTTTATAGCTGTATTCTTTTACTTTTTTGAAATGGAGTTTGCTGTGTCACTAAGGCTGCAGTGCAGTGGCGTGATCTTGGCTCACTGCAGCTTTGAACTTCTGTGCTCAAGCAGTTCTCCCCATCTCAGCCTCCCAAGTAGCTGGGACTACAGGCAAGCTAATAAATGCCTGGCTAATTTATCTTTTCTAGAGATAGGGCCTCATTATTTTGCCCAGGCTGGTCTTGAACCCCTGGCCTCACACAGTCTTCCCACCTAGGCTTTCCAAAGTGCCAGAATTACACGTGTGAGTCACCATACCTGGCCCTATTCTTTCTTCTGTTCTTTTCCACAAGATGGCTAATTTCAGTGGCTTTTTTCCTCTTGGAAAAACTTTCTACCTTTGATGATTTAATTTTATCAACTTTTTGACTGTTTTAACTGTTCTTAATTCTGTCTTGTCAACCACTGGTATGGCAAAGGAGGCCTCAACAGGCTGAAGCAATTTTCCTCAAAAATTACAACTCTTTTTTCTCCTGATATTGTATATAATGTATAATTAACACTGTTCACTATCAAATCTTTGCTTGGCAAAAGAGAACTCTGTGGTGCCTAGAGTATGTCTCATAAAGTATAGTTTGGCTTATTAATGTAACTAGTAATAGTCATAACACCTAACACTAGCTGAGCTTCTTCCACATAAGGCTCTGTTCAGATATTATTTTTATTTTATTTTTGAGATAGAGTCTCGCCCTTTCACCCAGGCTGGAGTGAAGTGGTGGGATCTTGGCTCACTGCAGCCCCTGCCTCCCTGGCTCAAGCAATCCTCCTGCCTCAGCCTCCTGAGTAGCTGGGACTACAGGCATGTGCCACCACACCCAGCTAACTTTTGTATTTTTAGTAGAGATGGCATTTCACCAGGTTGGCCAGGTTGATTACGAATTCCTGACCTCAGTTGATCTTCCTGCCTTGGCCTCACAAAGTGTTGGAATTACAGGTATGAGCCACTGCGCCCAGCCAAGCACATGTTTAAGAGAGCAGAGGGCTTGGAAATGAAATTATTGTTAACTTTGCCAATAGTCAAGTCAGTGTGGCTGTTAATTTTGATAACTGTCAAAATTAGACCTTGGATTACTGGAGGATACTATCCTGGCTACACTTTGGAGGTTTTTTGTTTGTTCATTTTTATGTCACAAGTTACTAAGCAATCCCTTAAGTCTTTTTTTAGGACACTCCAGGTATTTGGTCATTCTCACATCCTGGTTGTGGGACACTGTGGTTTCCTCACGGTGTACTCATTGTGGGAAAATTCATCCTGTGAATTCGTTCAGTTTGCAGGACGCTGATACTCATGAGAGCTTTTCCCCACCAGGAGCCACAGCTTCTATCAGAACTTTATGTTGCTAAATGAGCAGCTTTCTTTTATAAACTGTGAACTTATATTCCAGGAAGCAAAAGAAATTCCAGAATGGGGATTTTCTCAGAAAACTGAATTTTTTGGACATGGAATCTGCTTAGTAATCATGAGCTAGAATGTTAGAAATCCTTGCTCTTTTATTTATGATTCTGAAAGAAACCCTAGTCATTCAGTCTCTCCTATCTTTGTGTGCTTTGTCTAATACCAATAAATAAATACTCTTTTTCCTAATTCCCAGAGATTCACATCCTGCTCATCCATTCTACTGTTTTGAGAACTTTTGCTCTGATGAATTTATTCTGTCAGACCTAAATTCCTTGTTACCTGTTTGTGTAACTCAAACTTGCTGATATCGTCTATAGAATAATAAATGTTCTTCTGTTTCAAATTGAGATTGACTCCCCGTCAGAGTATACCGTTCAGTCCAGTGTCCTAACATCTATGGCTGTGGTCCTGCACAGTGGTCCTTGAAGACTGCATCACTTACCAGATGTA